TCCTCCGCCTCCTCCTCCTCTTCTCTACTTCTTCTTATTCCTTCTCCTTCTCCTCCTCCTCTTCCTTTTGCCTTTTGCCACCGTCTGGCTGGGAGGAAGGTTCCAATGACGGCCTGCCTCAACAAAAAAAAGAATGCCCGAGGCCGATTCCGTCAGAGGAGACTTCTGTCGCCGCCAACGAGGGTTCCATCCCCCCGCCAGCGACCATACAGGAGCCGATCTCGGGGCGCACCTGTATCCAGGCCAAACCTGGACATCAGGCGGCAACTTACCCTCAGAAAGACGGGCCAGAACACGCTTGCTGTGCGCCGAGAGGCCTGGGATTCACCAACGTCCGAGCTTTTGGGGCCCCCGTGTTGGTGCAGACTGGGCACCAGGACGCCCATCGAAACGAATCAACTCGGTGGGAAGCGTGGATCTGTGACGGGACCACACGGCAGGCCGACTGGATGAAGCCCACACGGACACCTCTACCTTTCAAGACACATAGAACGTACCGCCATTGTCCATTCTGGAGTTTCTACCTGGTGCTGAGTGTGGAGCAACAACTGCTCAACTACATCTTGTTTGGCAATTTTGTTCTTAGCTACCTCCTCCTCTTCCGCCTTGTCTTCCTCCCTCCCCCTCCCCCTCCTCCTTCCTGTTCTTCCTTCCTCCCTTCCCCCCTCCCTCCTTCTCCTCCTCCCTCCTCCTATCCACGTTCCCCCGTTCCCACTACCCTTCTCCTTTTCCCCGTGCTCCACCACCACCTCCACCTCCTCGTCCCCACCTCGTCATCCTCCTCCTCGTCCTCGTCCTCCTCCTCCTCCACCTGGCCTGGAGGGGGGGGAAAGGGGGGGGCCAAGTGGGCGGAGGAGGGGCGTGAACAGGGGGATGCGTGAGGAGAAGAAGGGGAGCGACTCCTCCGGAGGAGGACCAGGAGGACGAGGAGGAGAATGAGGAAGGTGATGAGGAGGGGGAGCGCCTGCACCGGGGCGAAGAGGGCGAGGCAGTGGAGGAGGGAGGGGACGATGGGGAGCAGGGGGATCGCGCCCCCGACTGGCGCGCGGGGCGCCTGGCGCGGCGCCGCCAGGCGGCGTCGCGGGCGCCCTGCGGAGCCGGCCGCCGGCGATCGTCGCCAGCATCGTCGGTGGCGCCGTCGTCGTGGTCGTGGTCGTCGCTGGCGGGCGTCGTCGGCCGCCCGCCTTCGGCAACCGCCAGCCGTCGTCGGCCGCCGGCCGTCATCGAACTGAGCTCGTCGTGGATTGTCGTCGGCCGTCGGTCGGTCGGTCGGTCGGTCGTCGTCGCCGTCGTCGGTTGTAGGTAGTCGTCGCCGTTGGCGGTCGCCCTCGGCCGCCGCAGACATAAGATTTCTTACCCCCCAAACTTCAAGTGGTCTTGGGTCCTCGTTTTGCAGAGGCCGCTGCCGATGTCCCTCCTCCTGCCCTCCTCGCCCCAACACCTCCTTCCTTCCTCCCATCATCATCAGCAGCAGCATCAGCATCAGCATCAGCATCAAGATCGTGATCATGATGATGACCATCATCATCATCCTCATCCTCATCCTCATCCTCATCAGCATCAGCAGCATCTTCAGCATCGTCATCCTCATCATCCTCATCATCATCACCGTCGTCATCGTCGTGATCGTCATCGACACCATCGTCATGACCATCATCATGACCATCATCATCATCAGCAGCATCAGCAGCATCATCAGCAGCATCATCAACATCATCAACACCACGACCCTCCGCATCATCAGCGCCACCGCCATAGCAGCACCATCCTCACCATCATCACTATCATCATCCGATCATCATCAGCATCATCATACTCATCATTACCATCAACATCACCAGCACCATGTTTTATCATCACCATGACCATCACCATCGGCATCGCCATCAACATCACCATCATGACCATCACCATCATCATCCGTATCATCATCACCGAAGTCGTCGTCATCGTCATCATCATCACCACCATCAGCAGCACTATCAGCATCAGCATCAACACCAATATCATCATCAACACCATCAGCAGCGTCATCATTAGCATCAGTATCACATCGCATCCCCACCATCATCATCAGCAGCATCATAATCATCGCCATCACCATCACCACCACCATCATCATCATCATCATCATCATCCTCATCAGCAGCAGCAGCAGCATCAGCATCAGCATCAGCATCAGCATCATCATCATCATCATCAGCAGCATCGCCGTCATCGTCATCATCATCATCGTCATCATCATCATCATCATCATCATCATCATCATCATCATCATCATCATCATCATCATCATCATCATCATCATCATCTTTATCATCATCATCATCATCATCATCATCATCATCATCATCATCATCATCATCATCATCATCATCATCATCCTCGCAATCAGCATTAGCACATCCCTCACACGTTTCGTGGCCCTCATAGAGAGCTCCACCGAAGGTCCCAATGCCGCAGCCCGCATACTTTTATGATACTGATTTCGGCACACCCTCAGACGCTTCGTGGCCCAACAAGGAGCTCTACCGAAGGTCCCAGTGCCGCAGCCCGCATGCGTCCCCGCCGCCAATTTCGGCAAACCCTTACACGTCTCGTGGCCCCGTACGGAGCTCCACCAAAGGTCCCAATAGCGCAGCCCGCACGCGTCCCTGCCACCCTTTCGGCACACCCTCACACTTGGAGCTCCACCAAAGGTCCCAATGGCGCAGCCCCCTCACGCGTCCCCGCCACCCATTTCGGCACAACCGTCGCACGTCTCGTGGCCCCACAGGGAGCCCCACCGAAAGTTCCAGTGGCGCAGCCCGCATGAGTCCCCGCCACGCATGTCGGCACACCCTCACACATTTCGTGGCTCCATGGAGAGCTCCACCGCAGGTCCCAGTGGCGCAGCCCGCATGCGTCCCTGCCACTCATTTCGCCACATCCCTCACAACTTTCGTGGCCCCATGAGGAGCTCCACCGAAGGTCCTGGTGGCGCAGCCCGCATGCGTCAACGTCACCCCTGTCGGTGCACCCCTCCCCACGTTTCGTGGCCCCAAAGAGAATACGGCCCCGTTTGCAGCCCGCATGGCGGCCGCCTTATTTTGGCGGAGTTTTCACACGCTTCGTGGCCCCAGAAGGAGATCCACCGAAGGCGATACTCACAACGACATTACTCGCAACTGCATATGGTCAGGCCCTCTGCCAAGCTAACGTTTCAAAGCGGTGCTCCGGGAAGTCACGACCACTTCCCGCCCTGGGGCCCGCTATGCATCTTGAGTCATTGTTTGACGACCCCTGGGCCTGACGAAGGCCCCCAAGGGCAGAAAGCCGGGTAACATTAGGTCGGGCGTGTCCCTTACAGCGGGATTTTGGACACAAGATAAAGCATAGTCAAGAAATGCACCAACATTAGCAAAACTAGTCACAGAATCTTTCCCAGGGTATTTCTGGACTATTTTTGAATATTCCTACTATAGAAGGACTATTTTCTGAATATTTTTGTATTTAAAGCCGTCCGTCTGGGTCTGTTCGTCGGCGGCGGACGTCGCCGTCGCGGTCGGCGGCCGTCGCCGGTCGTTCGAGGCTGTCGCTCGTCGGCCCGCTGAGGATCGAGCGGAGGGAGTCGAGGAGCTGGGGGGGTCGGCCACACGCAAGAGTGACCCTGGGCAAGAGTGACCTTTGGTGCGCAGCTTTTTGGGGGGCCGCGGGGGGGCCGAACACGAGCGCGCAAGACGCTACTGCCGCATTGCGTTCGCCGATCGGGGGGACCCCAGTGGGCCCGCACCAAAGGTCACTCCGGCGAAAGGTCACTCTTACGCGTAGCCGAGGGAGGGTCGGGAATCGAGAATAGGGTGTCGAGGCGGGATCGGGGAAGGATCGGCCCCAAGTCCCACAAATCCAACGCAATGAACGACTCAAGAGGTAGGTTTGTTGCTGTTCTCGGCTTTTCGGGGTCCGAAGCGGACACTGGGACCGGAACAAAAAAATTCGGGATGAAACGCCGGCCCTGGGAAATATTCGGGAGTTCAGGGGCCGTGTGTGAAAATTGCCCTGGCGAAGGACCCAACCATATGAAACTATGCTGCGTTCTAGTTGCTGCTTTCGGTGGAACTCACCATGGGGTCACGGAACACGTGAGGGGTGTGCCGTAATGGTGGTGGCGTGGAGCGCCTGTGAACTGTGTCATTGGGGCGTTAGGTGGAGCTCGCTATGGGACCACGAAGCGTGAGAGGGCTGCGCCGACATGGGCCCGGGGTCCGCATGCGAACGTCGTCAAAGAAGCCTTCGGTGCACGCGGCCGCGGCCACTGGAGCCTTCAGTGGAGCGCCCTATGGGGCCACGAACCGCTGTACAAGGTGAGGGGGAAACATGCGGCCGCAGCCACTAGGGCCTTCGGTGGAGCTCCCTGTGGGCTGCGAAACGCTGTATGGGATGGGGCAATCGCATGCGGTGGCAGCCACTGCGGCCTTAAGCGGAGCTCTGTATGTGGCCACGAGGCGATGTACTCAGTGGGGGAGGCGCGTGGTAGCCCTCGGTGGAGCTCCCTATGGGCCACGAAACGCTGTACTGGGTTGGGGAGACGCATGCGGACTTTGCCACTGGGGCCTTCAGTGGCGCTCCCTCGGGGCAACGAAACGCTGTGCTAGGTTTGGGAGGCACATGCGAACTTTTTGACCGGAGCAGTCGGTGGAGCTCCCTCTGGGCCGCGAAACGCTGTACTGGGTGGCGGAGACGCATGTGGCAGTTGTCAGTCGGGCTTCCCATGGGCCACCCTGGCCGGCCTCAGCAGACCCCCCGAGAAGGCCCAGCTGCCCTGCCCAGGGCGGCCTCGACACCAGGGCGCCGCCTCCAGCGGCGCCTGAGATAGAGGGCAGAAAATCCACCGATATGATCACCACCCCGACACGCGAAGCCGTTTAGTAGACGCACCCAGAGAAGGAACAGGGCAAGGATGTTCAGTGAACGCCCTAGGCCGTGTAGTAAACGCCAATTGTCCGGTCCGGGTGGTTTTTCCTCCCTTGATGAGAAGGCCCGCCCCCCCTTCCGCCGTGGGCGCGCCGAGCCTGGCTTTCGGCGGCCGCCTATGCCGATCCAGTCGAGCCCGGCCACCTCTCGGTGAGGCGCAGCCGCTGGAAAGCACCCCGGGGCCAGAACGCTACCGAGAACCGACGAAACCGCCGGAAAACCACGAGCCTCGCACCCAAACTCGACGGGCACACAGGCAGACCAGCTCACTTTCACCCAGGCCTGCGAGGCGAGGAGCTGTCGAGTCTTGGAGCGAGCGTGCCAGGCACGAGCAGCGCGCCTACAGGGCCAGGCGATGGGCGCACTCCTCCGGGGGCATTGACGCCTCCGTGTGGTCATCGCCTCCCAGCAGGCCTCCGACGTCAAACCCTGCGCGCGCCAAATCCCGAACGTAGAAATTCAAGTATCTGGTGCCCTCCCGCGTGCGCCCGTGGGCGACCTTCAACTGCACGCTCCCGAAGTGCATCCAGTGGGAAGCTCTGTCATTGCCAGACTGGGCGTAATAATGAAAGCCGCCGCTTCTCTCCACGTCCGCCCACGCCCCTGTGATGTTCAACTCCTGGAAGTACATATCTGCGCACGATCTCCCCAATGTTTTCACATCCGCGTCAACGCGAAGCAGCGAGTACATCAACGGCTTCCGTGGAATCTGGATCAGAACGTGTTTGCCTGGCTGCACCAAATTCGCCGACCCGATGGGGCACCAGCTTGTGGGACCCTGGTCCATGTGCAAGCATGACCCACGAGGCTCCCCCCAAGACAGTCCCAGCAGACCCGCCGGACAGCACAAGACCACCCCCATGTTTGGTTCCACTTCGAGCTATTCACTTCAACATAAAATCTGCAGGCGTAAGGCGGGCGTGTGGGGTCGTTGGGCGTGCATGGGAAGTGTACTGTGGCATCCCATACTCTGATATTTTTGAGCATGTCTGAGCGAGTTTAGAGTTATCGTTTTGGGTATGGCCGTTTTGGGTATGGTCGTGTTGGGCATGTCCCAGCGAATTTAGAGCGGTGGTGTCTTTAACTAAGGAATCACATGGGGCCAATGATCCTCGTCGTCTAGCTTTCGGGTCATACCTGGGGTTCCCGGCGGCCGTTCGGAACAATCTGGGCACCTCTGGATGCCTCTCGGCGAGGCGCAGCCGCTGGAAGGTATTCCAACTGCCAGAGAACCGCCGAAAACCGACGAAACCGCTCGAACATCTCGAACGCGCCCCATCCCCCCCAGAAAACCCGTAGACAGACCAACACGACCCCAAAGAGCCCCACACCGAACAGCCCTCCTGAGCGCCCAAGTCTGCACTAGGCAGGAATCCGTTCAAACCCAATAGGCCCAATAGGGCCGGCCCAACAGGGCGCGCGCTTCCTAATCATCCTCATCGGCATCATCCTCATTCTCATCGACAATATCAACATCAGCATCAGCATGGTCATCATCGTCATCGTGATCGTCATCAATGTCGTCATCATCACCACCATCATATCGATGCTTGTCTTCATCATCATCCGCATCACCATCATCGCCACGACCACCATGACCATCACAATCATCATCTTCATCAGCATCACAGACATCGCCACCACCATCATCAGAATCACCAACATTACCCAGATCCAGCGTCACCATCATGATTACAAACATACTCATAATCATACTCATCATTACCATCACCGCTACCATTACAATAGAAATCACCATCACCATTAACTCAACATCCTCATCATCAGTCTCACCATCACCATCACCGTCAACATTACAATGACCATCACCATGAAACACCACCGCAATCATCATCATCAACATCAACACCATCACCATCAACACCATTATCATCACCACCATCACCACAAGTATCATCATCAGTACCGTCATCGTCATCGTCATCGTCGTCTTCGCCACCGTCATCATCGTCATCATCTGCATGATCATCATCATTTTGATCATAACCACCATCATCATCATCATCCTCACCATCATCAACACTACCGTCATCACAATCATCACCATCTTCATCATCGTACTCACCCAACTCATGGTCATGATCAGTGTGAAGTTCCTGCTCATGATTGCGCCATTATCACCCTCACACGCATACGCATGAACATTATCATGACCATGATCACCATAATCACGACCATCACAATCCTCATCCTCATCCTCGTCCTCCTCCTCCTCATCAAAATCATCATCATAATCATCATCAACATCATCATCATCATCAACATCATCATCATCATCATCATCATCATCATCATCATCATCTGCCGGCCCCCTTTTAGAGCCATCAGGCTGCGTGAGGGTGGTGTCTTGCTTCCTGCATCGCCACCAATTTCCAGATTCCAATGTTATAGTGCCACTTTCTGCTGCCTACTGTAAATTGTTACTGGTCACCGTCCCCGCAGCGCGTTACCTGAATGTCTGGTGGGCCTGGCGCACGTAACAAACATTTGAGATTCGCGCCCCCGAGCTTCGTACATTACGCCTGATCCACGTTCCCGAAGCCAGAATCCTTTTTCAAATCACGCCGAATTGGCGCTCCCGAAACCAGGTTCTCTCATAAACTACGCCAGGTTCGCGCGGGCTCCAGAAATGCAAGTAAGTGTTGAATGACAACGTCAACGTCTCAAAGAGTGTTTTGCGTGTTCCAATCTTGGAGACCCGAATTCTACGGGATCACTGCGGTCCAGGGTGCCTCTGGTTTGGGCCCCTGAGGCGCAAATCTGTAGTTACCCTGACTGCCCGCAGCCCTGATGATTCGGGGTGAATGGACGCCCGAAGTCTCCAGGATAAATGCGGTCCGGGGTCACTCAGGTTTGGGCCGCCGGGGCGCAAATGTGTGGTCACCCCTGACCTGACCCGGCCCAGATGATTCGAGGCGCTGACAAACCGTCTCCACATGATGCTCCCAGATATCTTCAAGACGGCGCCCAGGCACCCCGAAACGGCTCTGATATTTTCCAGAATGAGGGAGGGGGGGCCAGCCACAGAGGGCGGAGCCCTTACGGCAGCATCATCATCAGCATCCTCATCAGCATCCTCATCCTCATCCTCCTCATCATCGTCACCGTTCGTCATCATCAACAAGATCGTACACATAATCATCACCATCATCATATTCCTCCTCATCATCATCAGAAGCATCAGCATCACCACCACCATCATCAGCATCATCATAGTCATCAGCATCAGCACCATTATCATCAGCATCACAATCGTCATCATCATCATCATCATCATCATCATCATCATCATCATCCTCATCCTCATCATCATCACCACAATCAGTATCATCACCATCATCACCATCATCATCGTCACTGTCTTGCCCATGGTTCCTCACCAAGTTCATCATCATCATCATCATCATCATCATCATAATCATCATCGTCGTCGTCATCGTCATGGTTCGCTCCCGTCGACATCATCATCGACATCACCAACATCACCATCATCATTGTCACTATCATCGTCATCGTCATCACCATCATCATCCTCCTCCTTCTCATCATCAGCATCATCGTCATCGACACCGTCACCGTTATCGTCATTCTCATCATCCTCATCCTCATCCCCATCCTCATCCTCCTCGTTATCATCCTCATCTTCATCCTAATCCTCATCATCAGCAGCGCACTCATCATCATCCCCCATGATCATCAATGCCACCATCGTCATCAAACTCGTCATCAACGTCGTTATCATTGCCGTCATAAGCCAATTCATCATCGACATCATCAACATCACCATCATGATTGTCACCACCACCACCATCACCACCACCACCACCACCATCATCATCATCATCATCATCATCATCATCATCATCATCATCATCATCATCATCATCATCATCATCATCATCATCATCATCATCATCATCATCATCATCATCGTATCGTCACAATTGTCATCATGATCCTAATCCTCATCCTCATCCTCATCCTCATCCTCATCGGCATCGTCACCGTTACCAATATCGTCATCGTCATCGCCATTGACATCATCCTCATCGTCAGCCTCATCCTCATCATCGGTCTCATCCTCATCATCATCCTCATCACCTCGTCCTGATCCTCATCCTCATCATCATGCTCATTCTCATCCTCATCCGCATTCTCATCCTCATCCTCGTCTTCAACCCCATCCTCTTCATGCTTAATCATTATCATCGGCAGCAGCATCATCCTGATCATAACCACTCTATGATCATCATCGTCACCATCGTCATCATGTTCGTCATCATCGTCGTCATATTTTGCCATCATCACCGTCATCACCATCAACAACATCATCGGGGCCGCAACGACGCAACCGGCGGACCGCGCCGCGTCGCCGATGCATCGGTGGCACATCAACAACTTCAATACTGAGAACATTGAGCCGCAGACAGATCGCGCCGCATCGCCAATGAGTCGATAGGCGATGCCTCAAAGGCCCAGAAAGCCTCCGAGATTCTGAGAAGCTCTCCAAGCCTTTCGCGAAGCCGCAGGGGGCTTTTTTTGACGCGAGAGAAGGCGATAGAGTTGGGTCGACTTAACGATAGAGGGCCTCTGAGAAGACCCGCCGCCTTCTGAGAAGGCCTGCCCCCTCTCACTCTCCGCCCTCGGCGCGCCGCCGCGTCTGGTCTCTGGGTGCTACCTCGGGCCTCTGGGGGCCACCCGGGGCGACGCGGGCAGGCGCGGCCGCTGGAAGGCACCCCCGAGGCCCGAAGGCCGTCGAGAACGGACGAGAGCACGCCAGAAGCCCCCGGGCTTCGAGCCTCGACCCCCGAAACCTGGGGCGCCACCGAGCTCTGGGCAGCCGTGGGCGGCCTAGGCCAGCGCGGCCCCCAAGTCGGGCGCACCCCACAGAACACCGACTGCGGCAGACCAGCTCCTGGGCCCTACTACTATCGGGCGTTGGCAAAACTGGGTTTAGTGGGACCTGGTTTAGTGATCTGTACCAGGGACGCCCCCCACGTCCCATTCCACTAGCCGGAATTGCCGTCACCCGAAAAAACACCAACTATGGCAGACCTGGTACCGTGACTCTGGCCCGTTCGAGGGCTCCAGGGCCCTACCACTAACCGGGTCCCCTGACCTGGGGTCATGGCTGTGCCCGACCAGGGGGCGGCGGGTGGCGTGGCGCCCAGCCGCCGGCTCGAACTCCTCGCCGTGGACGTTGCGCAGGTGCGGGTCGCCCGTGGCGGACACGGGCGCGGCGGCGCCCGTGGCGGACATGGGCGCGGCCGCGGCGGCCCCGAAGGTGGCGGTGCTGGCGCCGGCGAGCGGCGGGCCGTATCCACCCCACGGGAACTCCTGTTGGAGGCTGGGATTCAGCCAGGACCGCCGCCTGGGGCTGAGTCAGGGTCATCCTGGAAGCCTCGCGCGGCAACTTGAGACCCAACTTCCGTCGGAGTCACTCCGGATGCACGTCCATGTTACGTCGGAAGGTCGCCGCGCGAGGGTGCCAGGATCTCCCTCATAGCTGTGGGGATCGATCTTCGGCGACTCGGCAGGCGGCGGGCATCTCCATGTCCACCGCCTGCCGAGGTTCCCGAAGACCGATCCCCCAGGAGGGGGCCACAGGTAAATCCCCGCCCCGGAGATCCGACGTCGGTGGGGTGTTCGGGCTGGGCGTCGCCGATGGCGCCGCCGATGGGTAACCTGGCAGGGTGCCATGGATACACCTAATTGCACCGATCCTGGCCAGGATCAGATCCGCCGGCCCTGCGGGCATGTGCGGGAGGCTTCGGGACCGCCTTGCAGAGCACACCATCCTAGAGCTCTGCAGAGCCCAGCATCCCAGAGCGCTGCGAGGTCGCTGACCGGAGCGTTACAAGTCGCCAGACCGAGGGAACTCGCTCCACATCGTAACAAACTTGACAGGATCTCCCTTCCCTTGATCCCTTCCCCGACCAAGGGGGGTCCCGGGAGGTGTCGGGGTGTGTGCCCCCCCGCCCCCCACTTCCGTAGAGGAACCGCCCGGGGAGTGTCCCTGGAGAGGCGTTAGATCAGCGTGCGCTCCCTTCCCTTCTGCTTTTCATTCATCCTCGAACCAGTTTGGCCTTCTTGCGGCAACGCAAGTCCGCGACGCCCAGGAGGGCACCGAGACGGCCCGAGAAAGCCTCGATAGGACCCCTCACGAGAGCTCCAGGAGAAACAAACCACTACTTATGTATGTTGTTTCGCAAGGTTTCATCGTTCTTGCCTTTTCTGTTGACCCACGCTTCAAACACGCCCAACATTGCACCAAGACGGCCGGAGGGGCCCCACAGAGAACCCCATGGCTGCTCTGGATGGCCCACGAGATCCCAAACAGCCCGAGACCGGCCCCAAAGGACCCAACAAACCGCCAGCAAGATCCCGACACCGCTAAGGCGCCCCCGAGAGGCCTCCGACTCGCCCGCCACCCCCAGTGCTGTTGCTGATCTCGTTGCAGGGTCGGCGGAAGCGGACGCAAGGCCTGCGCAATGTACACATACGACGGCCCACGATCGGTGTACGATCCCTCCTGGCTCGAGTAGAGAACACACAAAGAGACACACACACAAACACGCACGCACACCCAGACACACAGCACACACACACACACCACACACAGACATACAGACGCAGAGACACACACACACACAGCTCACACATACACAGACCACACACACAAACACACAAAAACGCACACACGCACACACGCACACACACGCACACACACGCACGCACACACAGACACACAGCCACAAACACACACACAGGCACACACACACAACACACAACACACAACACACAACACACACACACACACACACACGCACGCATCACACACACACACACACACACACGCACGCACGCACGCACGCACGCACGCACGCACGCACGCACGCACGCACGCACGCACGCACGCACGCACGCACGCACGCACGCACGCACGCACGCACGCACGCACGCACGCACGCACGCACGCACGCACGCACGCACGCACGCACGCACGCACGCACGCACGCACGCACGCACGCACCACGCACGCACGCACGCACGCACGCACGCACGCACGCACGCACGCACGCACGCACGCACCACGCACACACACACACACACACACCACACACACACACACACACACACACACACACACGCACGCACGCACGCACGCACGCACGCACGCACGCACGCACACACACATGCACACACGCACACCACACACCCACGCACGCACGCGCGCACGCAAGCACGCACGCACGCGCGCACGCACGCACGCACGCACACACAACACACACATACACACAGCACACACATACACAATTCCCACACGCGCACGCGCACGCGCACGCACCCACGCGCACTCGCACGCGCACGCGCGCACGCGCGCACGTGGGCACACATGCGCTCACGCGCACACGTGAACGCGCGCACCCGCGGACCCGCACACATGCGCACACGCGCACACACACGCACACACGCACACACGCACACACGTACACACGCACACACGCACACACGCACACACGCACACACGCACACTCGCACACACGCACACACGCACACACGCACACACGCACACACGCACACACGCACACACGCACACACGCACACACGCACACACGCACGCACACACACACACGCACACACGCATACACACACACACACGCGCACACACAGACCACACACACGCACCACACACAGACACACACTCACAGACACTGACACAGACCCAGAAGCAGCACACAGAGACAAACACAGACACAGACACATGCAAAATCACACACAGACACACACAGACACACAGACACATTCCCCAAGCAGTGCTTGCAATTAGTAGGGATTCTTAGCTGTTGTCTACGGGGCTGGGCTGGTGTGCTGCCCTGGCGGTTATGTTGTCACCGTCGCCGCCCCGTCGCCGCCCCGTCGCCGCTTCGTCGCCGCCCGTCGTCTGGGTTGGTGTGCCGCTCTGGCGGCTATATTGTCGACGTCGCCGCCTCGTCGCCGCCCGTCGTCTGGGCCGGCGTGGCGATATGGCGGCTATGTTGTGTCGTCGCCGCCTCGTCACCGCTTCGTCGCCGCCTCGTCGACGCCCGTCGTTTGGGCCGACGTGGTCGTCTGGTGGCTATGTTGTCGCCGTCGCCTCATTGTCGCTGCCCACATAGATTGCGAAAGAACAGTTGCACCGCATAGCTTCGCTTTTGATGAAGACAAATCGGGATATCCCCTCCCGCCTTCCCGGGATGATATTTCCACTTTTGCGTGAAACAATTTCCGTGCGATTATGTTTCCTGCTTCGTTTTCCATGTGGCACCGTCTTTCGGATTTGTTGATAAGCGCGGGGGGACCCCCCCGACAAGGGTCAACCTCGCCTCGTCGTCGCTCCGCAACGGGGTCGGAACGCCGAGTCGAACCAGCATCGACTCGCCCCGTCATTCATTGCAAACCATACCATGCGTGGACACTCGCTTATCCCAAACCCACCATGTCCAACAATCCTTTGCAACAAACGACACGGATTCCACGCGCGCACGTCTCGGCGCGCGCACGCCGAAATCTGACAAAAAAAGAAACGGAACATTTTAAACATAGAACCCACGAAACCAGATATAACAACAAACGCACACAAACGCCCACATTTATGTGCAACCTGACTTTGTCCAACAGAAACTGCACGCGCGTGCTTGCAATCTTTCGGGGGCACATTACACTGGTTGTTGTGTCAGCATTTTCGTTGAACTCGACTGGTCTTCTCACGCTCGAACTCATGTGATCGCCCTGGCGCGCATGCGGGCGGGCGGGGGGGGGGGGGGCGCGATCCCTGTCAAACAAAAACGCTCGAACCACTCGCGCTCCCCGGCCTCGCGCGCATCTCGAAATCTGTCCAAACACTTGCAGCACCGACGCGAAGACACCATCATCGTCATCGGCGTTTTCAATTTCGGCGCCGTCATTGGCGTTGCCGTCGTCACCGCCATCGTCGTCACAATCAGCGCTACTATCATCATGTGTGCCGTTGTCAACGTCCCGCCACGCTACCGCTGAAGTGCCCGCGCGTCAGCGCGGATACGATACGCGCTGGGGGGTCCCCAGAGGCCAACGCAACTACGGACGCGTCGGTCGCACCAACATAGCTGGCCGCACTGCGCGCGAGCCTGCGTGCGTCAGCGCGCCCGCAGCGAGGCGCCAACCAGTGATAAACAGCCACCGCAATCGCCGCCGCATGGCTTTTAAGCAAGCTGCGACTCGCAAGTGGATGGGGCGTAACTGAAAATTGCAAGCTCGCCAGGATGGTTGGCACCACGTAGATTGCACTACGCACGTTCTCATCTGTAGAACAATTCAATTGCACCGCCCAAGATTATCCGTTCGTTTCTCTCTCTCTCTCTATATATATATATATTCCGCATGGTCACGTTAAGTTTGACCTTGCTTCCTCGCGCCTTTTCCATCGTAGATCGATCAGATTTCCATAGAAGACCGATCATACCACCACAGCCACGTCAGAAACGGCGGGGCCCACACACAACTATGCGCGCGCACTCATTTATGAAACGTTATATGAAACTCAAGAGCAATAATTGGCACACGCCAACACGCGCGCGTCATTGCGCGCGCATGGCGGAAACCTTCGAAAACCGTCGATGTGTTACGGAATTCAAAATCGAGTATCCCGGACACATAAAACCAAACCGTCGTTTTTTTGCAACATGGGTTGTCAAAAAGTCAGCGCGCGCCCTTGCGAATTCTGAAGAGAACATTGAGGTTTCAAGCGCGTTCATGATACGACCAAACGGGCAATGTCGCGCGCATGTCGGCAGCATTCGAACGCCCTTGCGCGCGTACAGAGGGGGACACGATCCATGACAAACCGTACCATGCGGGCCACTCGCGCCCGTCGGCCGCGCGCGCATGCCGAAATCCGTCCAAAACCTTCAACACCGATGGGGGGACACCATCATCGCCACTGGCGTGTTCAATATCGGTGCCGTCAGTGGCTTCGCCTTCGCTATCGTCACCGTCTCCACAATCACCGCTACTATCATCACCGCGTCTGCCATTATCGACATCGTCAATATACCGCGCGGACCCGAGTCACCGACTCGCACTGAAATTGCCCGCGCGTCAGCGCGGCCTGCGAAACGCGCTGGGAAGTCCTAGGCGGTCAGCGCCACCGCGGCCGCGTCGGTCGCGCCATAATAGCTGGCCGCTCTGCGCGCGAGCCTGCGCGCGCTAGTGCGGCCGCAGCGATGCGTCAGCCAGTGCCAAGATGTCAAAACAATCGCCGCCGCAAGTGACTTGCAAACCAGCTTGCGGGTGGGTGGGTGGGGTGTCACGCGCGGTGCAGGGGAGTCAATTGCACCACATGGATTGTGGCGCATAGATTCCGCCACATAGTTGGCACCACAAAAACTGCACTTCGCCGACTGCCACACAATGGCGTTACCACACATTGCACCATAGAAGGTTGCACACGATAGTTTGCAGCACATAGCTTGCACAATACAGATCGCACCATGACATTGCACCGCATATACTGCACCATCTAAATTGTACCGCATATACTGCGCCGCATATATTACATCACATCGACCGCACAACATGTAGTGCAACACGTAAATGGCACCACCTAGATAGCACACGTATATCGTTCCATAAAGTTTGCATCACATGTTTCCTAGACACACACTGCGTGGGGTCCACGCTGGCTAACATCATACATTTCAACGTGTGCATATATATACATACTTAAAAGCCTCCTCGATGGGGTCGGGGTAGATAGGGGTCGGAGGATCGCGCCGCATCGACGATACATCCGAGATGCACCGACGATGCATCGGCGCCGTAGGCGGTGCATAGGCGACGCAAGCGCGGAGAAAATCGGGCTCCACATCGAGCCGCATCGGCGATGCATCGGCGATGCAGCGCGATCCTCCGACCCATTCTCCTCCGACCCCATCTACGAGGCCTAGAAATACACAAACTGATCCACGGAATAACATCGGACTGGCGAAGATCGGTGTAAGTGCACAATTGGTGCCCTCCGATCACCGCCGAACCCGCCCGGGTAGCCACCCAACGTCGATGGCTCCGTCGGGCTGGGCGTCGCAGCTGGCGCACCGCCGTAACCGCCGAACCCGCCCGGGTAGCCACCCAGCGTCGGTGGCTCCGTCGGGCTGGGCGTCGCAGCTGGCGCCGCCACTGGGTAACCGCCGAACCCGCCCGAGTAGCCACCCAGCGTCAGCTCAGTCGGGCTGGGCGTCGCAGCTGGTGCGCCGCCGTAACCACCCTGGACGAGCCCGGGGCTTGGCGTCGGGTAGGACGCGGCTCCCAGCGCCCCCTGACATCCGCCGATATCATTTTTGTTCAATCCGCGGCCGAAGAACAAATCCCGACCGCTTCCCCTGTTGTTTTTCGTCCTGGATCCGTTCCTGATGGTCCTGGATCCCGATAAGTGGCCCCCGAGGGCAGAAATAAATAAACAAAAACGCAAGTTGAACAAATAATATCGCCTCCGGCGAGCTGAGCTCCCCGGTGGTGTCGCAGGCGCTGCTGCCGCTGTGGGGGTACGCGCACGTGCCCGCGCTGACCATCTCGTTGCACGCCTTTTCCGTCAGGTAGGCCGTGCCGCAGGCCAACGAGCAGCAGCGCTGCATGTCCTTTGGCTTATGTGTTTTACGTGCGATTGTTGTACTTTTTCTAGGGCACATGCTAACATGGATTACGGATCCGTGGATCGGGCAAGTGAGCGCCAGATCCATTGATCGGAGAATGCGCCCACCAAACGTGAGGCTAAGGCCGCCTGATTTGGTGGCGGATCCTGAGATCCTGGCGTCACGGCGTCGCATGTTATTTGCAACGGGCGATTTTGCACGATTTCTAGTCCTGGGGCCCTGACGGATCAATCCGGCTCCAACAAATTGACAGTCAAATAGAGTCCAGGGCTCCGGTTGAGTATTTGTTTACGATGCTGCATGATTTCGTGACTTCGAATCACAAGGAATGAGCCTCCGAAGCGTGAAGCTAGTGCCACCTGATTTGGCGGTGGATGACACCAATTTCGTGTGGAAGCGGTGCCCGTCGCTGATCCGTGAGCCCTAATCCATGTGTGCGCTTCCTCGGTCCTTCCCCCACGAGTGGCACCACTCTGTTGCGGTTGCGCACGAGTACCCACTTCCCCAGTACAGGTGATGGAGGCACGTGTCGTCGTTAAACGGTGCACACGGAACTGTGGCGGAACTTGTGGCAGAGCTCAGCGGAATCGCCGCGCTGATGTTAGATCCTTGCATCATCTCAAGCTCATCCATCGTCTGTACCTGCACGGAAATCGCGGTGGGTATGCTGTGGACGAGTAGCACCACCGAATAGACGGTCCAAGGTGCCCTCTGAGCTGCAATCCCAACGGACGATGTCATAGGCATTTGCGTACGTAGTAGTAATAGTGTAGAGGCGGGTCGAAGAGGTTTCTCTATCTCAAGGTGATTCACAGAGGCTTGAGCCACAAAGCTTGCAGCGAAGGAAGTGAATCATGAGCAAGAGAGGGACCAGGAAGGCTGCTGCTGCTGAGCGTCGGCATGCGCGTGTGCGGTGCTCGAATAACGACAAGGAAGGTGGGAGGAGGGAAGCGAGCGGAGGGATGACACATTGGGTGCAACCAAAAGGGCAAGACTGGAACATCCACGTCAACGAACGTCTGGATGGTTTGGGGGGTGCCAGAATTATGCGGTGACCGACCGTATGGAGACCTCCAAATTCCCAAAGGCCTCTCCGCGAGGTCCGTCACCGAACGGTTTCGGGGCCTTTGAAGCCCCAATTGGTCAAACACCCACGGTGTACGACCCGAGTGCCAACACCGTGCGGTCACCCCGAATCCCCACTGGCTCACATCAGTGTGGGCACCACACAGGGCTTCCAGAGGCCTCCCAAAGGGTTCTAGCCGCATCGCCGATGGATGCATTGACAATGCGGCGCGACACTACGACCCCATCTGCTCGGGCCCCACTTGGGAGGCATCCTCCGGCGCCATGTTGGGGGTGGGCGGGGGAATGTCCTCGAACTGTAGGAAAGGTCGAGGTGGACTGGCAAATTCATTGTGAATGTATCGAACGAAACGCTTGTTTTGGAGTGCCACTCGACAAAGAACGAAGTAAGGATAAATGTTTCGTTTGCAAGCTTTGAACAAACTGAACGCCCCAGGATGCATCGGCGAAGCGGCAGAATCCTCCGACCCCATTTTTTGTTGAGGGAGAAGATGGGAGCGGACATCATGCTTCAACAGCCACGGTCGTAACGCGAATGCCAGCCACTTCAAAAGCTCACTCGAAACATGACTTCTCGAGTCAGGGGGTGCAGGGGCTCTGGAAGAGCGGTTGCACTCGAAAGCCGTTGTCTTCCTCACCAAGCGTGTGGAAAAGGGGCACAAGCACACTGCCGAGAGAGAGGAGGAGAGAGAGGGAGGAGGAGGAAGAAGGGGAGGAGAGAGGGGGAGGAGAGAGGGGGAGGAGAGAGGGGGAGGAGAGGAAGAGGGGGAGGAGAGGAAGAGGGGGAGGAGAGAGGGGAGAGGGGGGAGAGGGGGAGGGGGAGAGGGGGGAGGAGAGAGGGGGGAGGAGAGAGGGGGAGGAGAGGAAGGGGGGAGGAGAGAGGGGGAGAGGGGCGGAGGATCCATCCAGAGCCCCTGGGACAACGCACAGGCCAGCCTGCCATGGGCGAGCCGCGGCGCGCCACTGGGAGAAGGAAGCAGTGGCAAAACCGCATAGGTATATGACTACCTATACGACCACCCTGCGGGTGATAAGGAGGTTTGGGGGGGGCAGCAGTGGGACATCTGGATCTGCATCTCGATCTGGACATCTGCTGTTCGATCTGCATCTCGATTTGCATGTCGACATCTCGCTGTGCGTATCGAACTTCTTTTCGATGTGCATCTCGATTTGCATGTCGACTTGCATTGGACAACTCGCTGCAAGCGCAGATTTTTTAAATATGCAACCCACGGCGCCTTACGATTGCATGTGGATGTGCATGCCGATTTGCATTTCGATGTGCTTTCCGGTTTGCATGTCGGTTTGCATATAGACTTGCATTGGATAGCTCGCCGAAGCCACGTCGGGACACCAGCGGGACACTAGCGGGACACCGCGGGGCACCGTTTGCCGGGTGGACAGACATTTGGTGGGGCCGCGGCCCAACCACAGTAGGATTTCAAGACACCAGCAGGACACCGGCTGGACACCGCGGGCCACCAGCCGCCGGAGGAGAAACATTTGGTCAGGCCGCGGCCCAGCCACAGAAGGATTTCCCCTCGCCCGCCCACGCAGCTTCGCCTCGCCCGCACGCACGCACGGCACGCACGACACGAACCCGAAACTGAAATTGATGTCCTGGTAGGGGGGGTCTCCGTTTCACGTCGGACTCACCCCCCAACCTTCGATTCTGAAGGGGTCCTGGGACACACACACACACACATAAATACACACAAATTACAGGATTCCCCATATTGTTCTATACCTATACGACCACCCTTCCGGTGATAAGGAGGTTCGGGTGGGGGGAGGAACCAACGTCTCACTCGATCGGTCTCGCTATCGGTCTCACTATCGATCTCCCTATCGGTCTCGCTCGATCGATCTCCCTCGATCGATCTCACTCGATCTAATTCATTCGATCGATCTCACAATCGATCTGACAATCGATCTCAAAATCGATCTTTCAATCGATCTCACAATCGATCTCACAATCGATCTCACATTCGGTCTCACTATCGATCTCGCTATCGTTTTCACAATCGATGTCACAATCAACGTCATCATCAACAACATCATCGTCATCAACGTCATCAACATCATCATCATCATCATCATGACCATCGGGACACCACCATCATCATCATCATCATCATCACCTCATCACCGTCATCATCAACGTCATCACTATCATCATGATCGGGACACCATCATCGTCACCATCATCATCATCAAGATCATCACCATCGGGGCACCACCATCATCATCATCGGAACCCCACCATCATCATCGAATAATCGTCATCATGAGCACCATCATCAACACCATCATCATCAGCAACATCATCATCATCACGATCGGGACACCATCACCATCGTACCCATCATCATCACCATCATCATCATCATCATCATCGGGACACCATCATCATCATCATCATCATCATCAGCATCATCATCACCATCATCGGGCCACCATCCTCATCATCGGGACACCATCATCATCATCAGCATCAACATCATCATCACCATCATCGGGCCACCATCATCAAAATCATCATCACCCCATCATCATCAACATCATCAACATCATCATCATAATCATCATCAGCATCACCGGGACACCATCATCGTCATCATCATCATCATCACCACCATCGGGACACCATCACCATCATCAACAGCATCATCATCAACCTCATTACCATCACCATCATCGAGACACCATCATCATCATCATCATCATCATCATCATCATCATCATCTTAATCATCATCATCATCATCAGCAAGATCATCGTCATCATCATCATCACCATCTCATCATCATCCCATCATCATCACCATCATCAAGATCATCAAAATCATCATCATCGGGACACCATCATCATCAGCAACATCATCGTCATCAACATCATCATCATCATCATCATCATCATCATCATCATCATCATCATCATCGGGACATCATCATCATCACTGCCATCACCATCACCATCATCATCATCAACATCGTCAACATCATCATCATCATCATCACCATCGGGACACCATCATCATCAATACCATCACCATCACCATCACCATCATCATCATCATCATCATCATCATCATCATCATCGACAGCATCATCATCATCATCATCATCATCATCATCATCATCATCATCATCATCATCATCATCTCATCATCATCATCATCATCATCATCATCATCATCATCATCATCATCATCATCATCATCATCATCATCATCATCGGGACACCGACGGGACACCGGTGGGATACCGGCAGGACACCGCGGGCCACCAGCCCCTGGAAAGGAATCATTTGGTCCGGCCGCGCCTCAACCGCAGGCGAAACACCGGACACCGCGGGTCGCCGGCCCCCAGAAAGGAATCATTTGGTCCGGCCGCGCCTCAGCCGGAGGAGACTTTCTTTCGCCCGCCCACGCAGCTTCGCCTCGCCCGCACGCACGGCACGCACAAACACGAAACCGAAACCGATTTCCGGGTAGGGGGGCTCTCCGTTCCACTTCGATCTCACCCCCTCACCTCCGATTTTTGGGGTTTTCGTTTTCCACCCACTTCCCATTTGTTCGTATAATTTCCTGGGAATCGACGATTAATTGTGTCTGTGTGTGTGTTTTTTCCCCTCCTGATATTTGATATCGAACTCGGCGTTGGCCCACGCGAACTTGAAACTCCGGTAGGTACAACAGGAGAGAGGGGAACAACGGACAAAAAAGAGGAGGTAATGGTCATGCCACAAAACTCGGAATGCCCCCACGAGCGCAGCTCCAGCCGGAGCGAAAGGGCAGACTGTCAGTATGCTGGATGGTCGAAGTACGGCAGCGGCGGGAGCGGCAGGGGGGGGAAACGAGCGGAGAAGAGAGAAGAGCACGGAGGAGGCGAGAGGGAGGGGGAAAAACGGAAAAAGATGAGACGAACGAAACATCGTACAGTCGGGGCGTTGACCTAAGCAACGATACATAAGGAACGAGGCCCGTTGTTTCCATAAGTTGAACTTCGACTTATCATCGAAAACCCAAGCACAACCTAAAGCAAACTGTGAAACAATCAAGGAACACCGAGCACCTCCCCAACGAAAAGGGTTCCTTCTTAAACGCCCCGACTGTAGGCCGTCCAATGCCGGACGGGCCCCCCCGCACGAAGCGGCAACGATTGCGAGGCGGTCTGACCCAGCCCCCGCCTCTAGCAGGCCCCGCCAGGATTCGCAAAATGGGGCCCTACTGGGTGGCGAATATCTTTACCAGGCCACGCAGCCGCCGAGACAACGATTAACAACATGGTATCTCCCTGGGTGGCGGCTTTTTTGCGACGCACACCCCGGACAGGGCCGATGGCCGGTGACCCTGCCAAGGCCACGAGCACCCCACTGGAGCGACGACAAGAAACGGATCCCATGAGAGACACCCCGACGACCTCACGCGGTGCCTTACACCGGCCGCCGGCGCGGCTCGCCACACGAGTAACGAAGGCGCTTACGCGCGACCTTGCGCGGGCACCCTACGCGCCGCAGTCGACCCCGTTTCAGGGCGACGACATCTATGCATGTCCACTGCACTGCTCCCTGGCCAGGACCATCCCAAACCCAGCAGCGGTGTATACGCCACGCCCTCCTGGCCTGGTCAGGAGGGCGTATACACAGCTCCTCGGCCCAAGAAAAGCCCGGCCAAGGCACACTGGATACATGTAGATATTGTCGCCCGACCATTCCTTCCGTGCTCCACGTTTCTTCCGTGCTCACA